AAAAAGGTCAATAAACAAGCGACCAAAATCAAGATTCAATTAGCTATTTATAGGTAGCTAGATTTCGAGGGCATACACAGCACGGTAGAAGCAAAGGGGTTCGTTACAAATGTCTAATACACACGTACATGTGCTATACTGAAATGGTCACAGCACACATAAACATACATGTGCTCCCCCTGTGGTAGAAGTGACTTTGTCCTATTACATCATTTTAATTTTTAACCATTTATAGGAAAAATACCGAACATCAGCTGACCTCATACCTTTGTATGTTATTCTTGAGATTTTCAGATTTTAGAATAGGTAATTTAAAATATGTTCCTTAAAAATAGAACACGTTTATAAGTTTATATTTCTAGGCAAAAATGTATATCCTTTGTCGTCATTAATATTGTGATACAGAAATATATTCTTGATTTCTGTGACATGATTTCAGTTTAATCTGATAAAATTACAGCAAGTCACATTACATTTCGGAGTTCCTACACAAAAATAGGATATGGTTGAATTCTAACGAACTCATTGAATTAAATGTCAGTCATTAGCAAGTATTTATATGTATATCATATACATATTGTGGTGCAACCTATTCGCAATTATTCCGCATGGTGCATTTTTGTAGCTCCTTGTTTCTTTATGTATTCTGAGCTAAAAAAATGTGACATACATTTCTGTCCCAGCACTATGAATCAGGCTTAAAATTAGAAAAAGTTTGTCTCAACCTGGCTTTCCCTAAAATAAACAAATAGTTTATTAAAATTTTGAATTTCATTTTTCAATTCAGCATTTTGTCAATATTCAATGACTATTGAGAAAGTTTTGACTCCGTGAAATGAGCTTTGATTCTGTGATATGAAAGGACATGTCTATTTGATATGTTTAATATCTTTCCTGTAACCAAAATATTACACATTGTAATACATTTTTTACATAATAACCCAACCCCCAACCTGGTCCCCCTCCTATCCATAATTTACCAAATGACAAATAAAGTCTATTATGGCTTAATTAGAATTTTAAAAGATTCAGCAAATATTCATATTTTCCCAAATTGTTTTCAATAAATTACTGATACTGGCATCACAAACAACTAGATGTATATATAACTATGTAACTAGTCTGAGGTATTCTTATAA